GAGTCTAAGCTGTCCTCTGCAGTTCTGCTATGGCCCTGGGAAGGGTTCTCCTGAAACTCTTCCTTCTCCACAGCAACTAATTTACGAGCGAGGCTTACCTAAATTCTTGAGCTTTCTACAGGATAAAGGGAAAATCCAGGAGCTGGAGTCGGGTGGGGCGTCGGGTGGGGCATCCCCTGGGTCCACACCATGTTCACTGCACTTCATCTTAGGCTGAGTGTGCCTACCGGGTTATGCAGAGAAAGAAGCTGGGCTTCACAGCATTGGTAGTAGGTATTGATAATTTGAAATCACGATCTGCTTTCAGTGACAGCCTTCCAGCTCACCCGAGCTGATGAAAGCGTACTTACGGTAGTTAGAGCTTCCTTTTCCTCACTGTATGTTATTCATCTTGGTGGAGGAAGAGGAGACTCCTGCACCAGCCACTGCCTGTGTCCCCTATTTTCTCACCCTTCCTTACCCTGTTGCCATGCTCCCAACTGCCACGAGTATATATACGTACGTGCCTAGGTGATGCTTTAGCCTCTTGTTAACAACCCCTCTCACCATTCTCCTTATGCTCTCTGTTCTCTGAATAGATTAAAAACAAAGAGGTAGAGTGTTCCTCAAGGAGCATTGATTAGTTTTCCCAGATTTACAAGAAGTCTCTGGGAATATACTTTAAAAAAAATAGTCTTAGAGAGGAAAGGAGAGGGAGAGAGACGTCAATTTGTTGTTCCGCTTATGCATTCATTGGTTGAATCTTGTATGTGCCTGGACAGGGGGGATCAAACCTGCAACCTTGACCGGTCAGGATGATGCTCTAACCAATTGAGCTACCTGGCCAAGGCCAGAATATTCTGAATTAGTATTACCAGTATTGTTATTGTTTTTAACAGGCTGCTAAGAAATGGCAAGATTAAATGAACAGTGCTGGGATCTTCAGGGTGGAGAGGCCCTGGAATGTGTGTTGGTGGTCAAGCCCCGCATGACATGGTAGGGAAGCCATGATCTTGTGCAGAAAGAGCTGGGCTAGCCCCTCACTGTATGACCAGCCAGGGGACTCAGGCACGCTGGGCACCAGTTTCCTGGGCAGGAGAACGAGAGCATCCATTGGACTACCGGTCTCTAAGGCCTCTTCCAACATTACCAACATTACCTGTGTGTGATTATGTTCTTCAGTTACTAATGCACCAAACACAATCACCAAGTTTTGCCCAGTTTTACTGCTCTTGAAGCTGATGCTCTCCAATTAAGTTAGTCCATTCTTTTTTTTTTTAACTGCACAGTCTTTTTTACTTTTTTATTTTTTAGTCTCTTTTTTATTTTTTTTAATTTTAATTTTTATTTATCTTTAGAAGGGAAGGGAAGGAGAGAAGGAGAGAAATATCAATGTGTGGTTGCTTCTGGTGCATCCCCTGCTGGGAACTGGCCCCTCCTGGGAACTAGCCTGTAACCCAGGCATGTGCCCTGACGGGGAATCGAACCACGATCTTTTGGTTCGCAGGCCCGCGCTCAATCCACTGAGCTACACCATCCAGGGCCTTAAGTTAGTCCATTCTTAATGGGCTTAAATATATAACTCTGCTAAATTTTAAAAGTTGTCTTTATTGTTTTTATTATTAGAAGTACTTTCTTCCTACACAGTTGTTTTTGTTAGTGTTTCAGCAGTGACTCTGACTCTGCTCCCTATTCCTCATCCTGCTCTGTCTCATTGTTCAGTTAACAATGTTGATGGTTGGTACCTATCATCCTAGGCTTTTCTAGGCATGAGCAAATGTGCGTGTGTGTATGTGTATGTGCATATACATATATACACACAAAACTCTTTTGACCATAAAGGTGAAATACCATACATATGGTTTTGAAATGTGTTTTTGTTAATTAGCATATGACAGAATCAAACAATATAAACAGTAGTCAATAAAAAAATAAGTCTCCCTCACACTCTTGAATTCCTAGCTCCCCCTTCTTAGAGACAGTTGTGTGCATATCCTTTCAGAGATTTTCGGTGTGAATACGAACATATAGAAGGCTATCTGATTTTTTTTTTAATACAGTGGGAATGTACTATTTACTGTTTAGCTCTTTGCTGCTGCTACTGCTTTTTTGAGTATTTATTTTTTGGCTTAACATTGCATTTTGCAGATTATTCCATATCAAATAATTCATGTAAGTGCTCAGAAATGTTACCTATCATTATCATCAGTACATAAGAAGCTTCCCCCGTTATTTTGGGGTCCACAAAACATTCCATTGTGTAGATGTGCTAGTTCCTTAGTGAGCTTTCAGATGTCTCCAATATTTAGCTATTATAAATAATGCTGCAGTGAACATCTTTCTTTCTGAGTCTCTGTATAGATGGGTGAATATGTTTGCAGGAGATATTCCTGTTGAAAGAATGTGCCATGTAAATTTGGTTAGATATTTGAGAGGCAATCTGGCAATTGGTTGAACCTGTTTACATTCCTGCCAAGAATGTCCGAGAGCTGCCTTCCAGAGCTGCCTCGCCAGCAGCTCCCTACTGGACGGGTGAGGGTGATGTATCATTTCAGTTTCCATTTCTTTTACTAATGCAAAGCTGAGTGTTTTTCCTTTGATTAGTGTTATTAGCATTTTATTCTATGCTCTGTCACGTCTTTCGCCTTTCTAAATTTGCCAGTATTGTAACTTGTAATTTCTTGCAGATACTTAAAATTTTTATAAAGCCAGATTTATCTTTACCTTCATGCCTGTAGATTTTTAATTTAGAAAGATTTTTACTACTCCAGGATTATTAAAAAGTTCTATGTCTTCTAAGAATACTCTTGTAATTTATTTTTATGGTTAAATCCTTGAGCCAATTAAATCTGTGTTTAATTGTAATGTTGGATTATAATTGAGCTTATGTTTGCTTGGGTGGTTGAATATTGAAAACCACAGGTTGTCAGAGTAGGTTGAGCATAGTATTGCAATATCATTGTTTCCACAATTTGAAATTTCCATTTTGTCTTATATAATACACGTTATAACTTCTATCATTTGTTTTTGCTTTCTGAGGAATTTCTTTTAGACAGAAAAAAAGTCTCTAGTTTATTGACAATTGACCTCTAATTGAAAGCACATCAATATTTATTGTTGATGTGCTGATTGAAAGACTAATATTTGGCCCTTTTATTAATGCGGAAGTACTTAAGCCCACTGTTGCTTGGTTGGTGCTGTTACTCCATCACGGTTTCCACGATGGGGAGTGCAGTGACTGCAGTCGGGGGGAGCAGGTGGAAAAGCAGTGGTGGTCATTTCCCTCAGAAAAGCATGGCATTCTGCGATGCTGAGAGAATTCACTTATGATCATTTTTTAAATGTCTAAAGCCACTAATACTACTTAGCTACATTGGTTTGGAAGGTTTATGATTTTTCTAACAACTCTCTGTTGGTGGGGACTTTTTTAGACAGGTTTATTTACTATTTCACTAGTTAGCCAGCTCTTTATATTCAGAATTAGCAAGAAAAGCTGTATATTCACGGGACCGCAGTTTTTCCACCCAGGGAAGAGTTATGCTGCTACTTGTTTCTGCCAGTTCCTTAGGATTTGGGGGGCCTGAATTTGATGATTGCCAGCCTTCTTTTAAAAAGAAAAGTGTCCATAAATCCAAAGCAGCAGTTTCACTAATGTCTTACTAGAACTAGGCAGTGTGGCCAAGGCCACTTTGAATCACCAGTGTTTTAGTGCTAATAAAACAAAGGCCATTCAATAAAAAAGTAAAAGGCAGATAAAACCCAGCATGTTGAGGTGGCTTATTTTTGTGCCTGTTTTTTCATCTTGGGGCAGATATGTCCTTTCAGAGTGTTCGTTAGCCTTCTCCACTTGTTCTCTTTGAGGCAGAAGTTTTTCCCATCAACGTTTCCTTTGTTTTATTTTTTATTTTTTAAAAAGGTTTTATATATTAATTTTTAGAGAGAGAGGGGAAGCCAGGGAGAAAGAGAAGGAGAGAAACATCCATGTGCAAGGGAAACATCAATCAGTTGCCCCTTGCACACCCCCAACCTGCGACCTGGCCCACCACCTAGGCATGTGCCCTGACCGGGAATTGAACTGGTGATCTTTCAGTTTGCAGGACAGTGCCTAACTCACTAAGCCACACCAGCCAGGGCTCATTTGTTTTGTTTTCTAAAACACATAGACACATATACACACATGCTCAGCCTAGCACTTGTATAGTTTGCTTCAAGAAACCTAGTATATAAAACTTGAGATTTAATCCTGGTTTATTGTTTTAACCGTAACTTATGAATTATGTTAGAAACACTAGAAAACGTGTTAGAGTTTATTTTGCATAACACGGAAAGAAACACTGCGGAAAGGTGAAATAACTGGTTTGAGATCATATATGGTGGTCATAATCGATTAATAGGCTCTGGTTTCCTAGTCTGGTAAAATAACACATCAAAATAGGATTATCTCTTTGCATTTCTCTTCAGATCATGCAATGTATTTAAATAATAAAATGATTGTAACAACTGTTAGAGAGAATCTCTTGCATAAAGTAGCACTTTACAAAGTATATTCCAGGTATTCATAGTGTTAACATGGAAGAAAGAGGGCAATATAGATGCCTCTTTTTTATTTTTTCCTTTTTTTTTTTTTACCAGAATGTTTAGCGCATTGACGTGTAGGAAAACAGCCTTGACCATTGACAGCTAAAACTCAAAATCTAATGACTCAGTCATATTGTCCTGCTGGACAGGAATAATCATTACAGTGTTGTTCACCAGGACGAAAGTCATATTTACCTGCTGTATTTCTCACAGAGGGAATTTGTGTGGTGGATCCGTGTCAGGGTGTGTAGTCCCCTGCCATGGTTCTAAGTCCTTTCCTTGAAGGTCAGAGCAAGAGAAGAAGGGCGGTGGTTCAGGTCTCTTCTGGGTGGGATTGATCAGAGTCTGCAGCAGCCGCAGCTGCCTTGACGCGCTCACTTAATAACATGGCAGGTAAAATGAGCCAATTCACCCGCTGTTGGACCTTAACGAGATGTCTGCAGAACCCAGCTTGAAGGGGACCGAAGACAGAGCCTGTTGGATAATCTTGTAACTCGAGAGAGACTACTCCTGGCATCCTTTAAGAACGAGGGTGCAGAGCCAGATCTCATCAGGTATGATGTTTTCATTTACAGGGATTTCACGATGGGTGACAGTTTATTTGCAGAGAGCACAGCTGTTTCCTGAATGGCTTTCTTCCTTTAATCAGTAAAATAAATTATGTTCCTTTGTAGTACTTTCCTGACATACCTATTTCATTTAGTTTTCATTAATTTTTTAGGTTTAGTAAACTGGGTGTGTTTGGCTGAGTCCTGTCTTAGAGGAAGGCTATTTAGGTAGAATACAGGTGAAGTCAGAAAATTTCTTCTGCATTCCTCAGTTGAGCTTTCCACTATGTTAGCTGCCTTTTAAACTCCTGAAGTCACATACTTAGCCTGGGGAAATGGTTGTTTTGGGTTTTTTTTAAATTGGCACCTTGAAAAAATGTGTCCTTGTAAGATTTAGGCTGTGGCTTATGGAGACCAGGGTGTGGCGGTTGGACTCTTTTCCCTGTTCTGTGCCGGTGTGTGAATGATTCCCACTCTGGAGGTGGCAGCCGCTCTGCACCCAGCTGTGCCGGAAGACCCAGAGGAGTGGTCCAGCTTTCCAAGGTTGAGGTTAATGAACCATAAATTGTTACATCTTTAGAATTGGCCTCCCCACTGCCTCCAGGACTCTGTTCGTTCCAGAATGTCGTTGTGGGAAAACTCACAGAAGGTAGTTAGCTTAGGATAAGTCCCTCCCTCCCTCTTCCCCACCAAGGACAATGCCGTCCTTTTGACAAGGCAGCCTGCTCCTCTTAGTTCCTAGTTAGGAATAATGACTTCCCACGGGCAGTGGGTTTGACCCTTGGCCACACACTAGCAGGCCCTGCCTCAGATAATTAAGTTAGAGTGGGTGTGGGGCGTAGGGGTCTCGGGTGATTCTGCTGCCCGGGATGGCAGACCAGGGCCCCAGGGCGAGCTGAAGAGGAGGCGCTTCCTGTTGGTCTCTGTCTTCTCAGGAGCACGTGACCCAAGGATTTTAGAAAGAGATTATGAAATATAGGAGGCTAGGTAGACTCTTTAAGTCCTTTCTGTGGGGAAAACACCAAGGAGCCAGTGAGGGAGGAGTTGTGTCCTGGGCAAGGTGTATAAACAACAGAAGTCTGCAGGGGGCCTGCCAATTCATTGTGGGGCCCGACATTTCTCTGGCTGTCTGTGGTCCCTCAGGTACAGGGACCACAGCGAAGTAAACAGGTGGTGCTGATCCACGGTTGGAAAAATTGAACAGGTGACCGAGGGGATGCAAGGCGAAAAGAGTGCCAGCTGTCAAGAGTGGTCTTTACATTGAAGGAAGAGGTCTTTTTAGTCTAGAAATTAAAGGCTTAATCAGCTGGGGGGAGCAGGTTTCATGGGGGTGTAGGGACCATGGAGACAGGTGATGGTCAGAGGAGGAGAAGCCATTTAAATCCTTTGTAGTGTTTGTAGTGGTGCAGGTGGTGGTTTTGATGAGCAGTGAGAGTTACCGTTTGGGAAGCGTCTACGAGATCAGGCCTTGCTCACTGCTCTTCATGTGTCGTTTGATGATATTGAAAGAGCCAACTTATGCATTATGTCTTCGTGGTTTTGGCCCTCTCTTGCTTCTCACCCCTTCTTTTTTTCTGTCACCCCCGCTTCTCTCCTGTGGTAACCTTGGCAATTTTGCTATTATTTCAAGTGTGGCCTGCATAGGAGTGGTGTCAAGGTCACCTGGGAACATGTCAGAAATGCAGATCTCACACCCACTGCCCAAGCCCTACTGAACCTGCATTTTAACAAGGTACTCAGGTGATTTGAACCATACATACAGTTTGAGAAACGCAGATTTATATTGTTTGTTCTTAATTGTGGCACTTTGCCTTAGAATCATTCAAGCGTATTAAAAATAAGAAAAGAAGGAGAGAAAGAGAAAAGAAGAAATAACAAGAATCTGGACCATATGCTTGCAGAGCCTGACTTTGGTGTCTGGTGAGAGGCCCGGGGAGCAGCAATGCCGGGGACAGCCCTCAGGTGAAGGTGACAGGCGGCAGGGTCAAACCTTTGCTTCCTGGAGTGGTACGCTCCTGGCAAGAGCTCATGGCCATGTCTGCTGTTTGTTTCTGTGCACCAGGCACTGTGCTAAGCTCTTTAAGGGTCTTTGCTCAGGAGATCTTTATAACATCCCCGTTTTACTGGAGAAAAACGGGAGTCAAGTAACTTGCACAAGATTCTAAAGCTAGTCCATCTCAGAGTTTGGGTTTCCTCTAGATCTGTGTGTTTTCAGACATGACCCCCGCCACTGCACTGTACAAGCCGGACCAGCATGAGAAGGACTCAGGTATGTTGCTTACTCATCACTCAGTCATCTGGGCTTGAAAATCTTTCACCTTAAAATGAGTGTCTGTGTTCTGCCTCTTTTCCTTGTTGTTTGGGACAGAGGAGGTGATTGTTGAGTGGAGGGCTTTGTAAGCTCTAAAACCTTTACCAACATAAGATGTTATTGCTAGACGTTGCACACCCTTCGGGTGGGAGGGGTCCCCAGAGGCTCACGCTGCCTCCTTTGTTTCCAGGAGACCTCCTGTCCTTCCTGCCCCACCCCCTGGGTGCTCAAGAGGGAACTGGCCTCTCTGGCCCATCTTGCTCCATGTTCTGCACCTGGTCCTCGGCCCGCTCCTTCGCCCCTTCCAAATCTTGTGTCCTCTTTCCTTAGTGCCCCGCTTGCTGCTTGTTCTGTCAGTAAACCGTCACACGTTCGTTGTCACAATGGAATCCACGCTGGCAGTGACTTATCTTCTGGCAGTATTTTAGCCAAAGGCTCCTTGGGCCCAAAGTAAATTAATTGGTGGGACAAGTTTAGGGAATACGGTAGGCCGGTGGCAGAGGTGTTTGGGACAGAGGCCTACAGAGACCTCTGCAGTCCTGCTACTGGGCCTGTCCCCAGCCCTGTGTTTCAGGCTGGTGCGCACTGTGGGCCTACAAGATACCTACAGGTATCTTGGGGAACAGTTGGGGTGGCATGGGGACAAGACCGGACTGGGGAGGAGCTATGAAGCAATGATCCAACACCCTGAGGGATGGAAGTAATTCAGGAAGCTGGCGGGGCTTTTCTACAAGCTCCAACATGAAACCGAGGGAAGCTTATATATTGTTGCAGCTTTTCTGCTCAGGAACAGAAGTCCAGAGTACTTGAGAATAAGCTTCCAGAAGAATGCTGTTTAAAAGTAGGTAAGCACTGGAGAGTACAAGTGACTGCTGAGGAGTGACGGAGAAGGTGAAAAAGGGTGTAACAGACAGTGATGGTGTATTTCAGGTCACATGGAGTCTGGCCAAGAGCAAGAAACTAATGTGAAAGTTGCATACTAATGGCCACAAAGAAAGTAAATTATTGCAGGTAAAAAAGAGGAAAGAGAGTGGTATGTGGCTTGGAAGGTGAAATACTTGGTAAATCCTTACTGGACTAGGATTTCTTTAGATCCACTGTACCTACCCTAACAGGAATAGATCTACGTATACCTGCCCGTATTAGTTTTGGTAGGGGTGCTGTAGCCAACTGTGCCACAGACTTGGTGGCTTAAACAACAGAAATGTATGTTCTCACAGTTCTGGAGTCTAGAAGTCCAGGATCAAGGTGTCAGCATCAGATCCGGTTCCTTCTGAGGCCTGTGACGCAAGGATCTGTCCTAGGCCTGTCTCCTTGGCTTGTAGATGTCTCCCTGTCTTCACACGGCCATTTCCCTGTCTGTGTCAATTCCTTCTTCTTATAAAGATACCGGTTATATGAATTAGACCTCATTTTAACTTAATTACCTCTTGAAAGAGCCTGTCTCCAAATATTGTTCTATTCTGAGATCTTAGGGGTTAGAACTTGAACAAATGAATTTTTGTAGGGACACAGTTCAGCCCATAACTGCCCCAAAAGTTCAGATTCTGTAGACATTTCAGCAGAATCTGATTAATAAGAAAATGTATACTAGATAAAATCATTCTCAAATACTATGTAGAAAAAACCTCAGGAATCTGTGTGTGGGCTACGAGAAGGAGCCCCAGATAGCACTGACCCAGCTGCTCAGGGAGGACAGCGCTGTTGGAGGTGGGGTGGGGTCAGACGGGGTGGGTTGGACGAGTGAAGGAATGAGGTTCAAGTTAAAGTAGATTCGATTTGAGCTCAGAGTTTCTGGTCTTTAATTTTACCCACCTGCCTATGTCAGAGTGTTATTATTGCCTTTTAAAAAAAAACTCCAAACCCCACATTTGAGTCCTCTTCTTCATTCCCAGTTTCTCGTACCTTAATAATTCTCTTGCCTGGACCGAGCCTTCGGAGGGTCTGAATTTAGCTGTAGCCCTGACCAGCTTCGGCTCACAGGTCCACCCTGCCCTCCTGCCTCCGGATGGTCAGGTGGCCTAATCACTTCTGATGCCAGCTGCCAGGGACCTTTCAATTCTGTCTGGAGAAATGCCATTTCTTTCTCTGCCAGTAGGTTTGTCTCGTCTCTTCAATCACTCACAAAGATTTCCTCAGTCCTCTGCACAGTCAGTCAGGAGTTCTGGGCTTCTCCAACATTTTTGTTTGCTTTTGTAATTCCCAATATCAGTGTGGGTTACATTCTCACTGAGGGGTGGGGTGGTGGTGGGTCTTTCCCTTAGGTCATGACCTACAGAAACACATTGGCCAGGAGGCCTTATCCGAACTTGAAAATGCCATAGATGTGCTCCCTACGGCACATTTGCCATCAGTGCTAGATTATCCCCACAACGCACGTGCTGTTGGAGACCTGGGGTTCGTCCAGTAATCAGAGCTTCAGAGCCCTGTGACAAGCGGCACTTTCCCACAAGGTCAGGGTGCCTGACCAGGAGGGACTCCCTTGGAACCTGCTGATTCTCTCTGCCCCCACCCCCAGCTCTGCCCTCTGCCTCCTCTGCCTCTCCTTCCCAGCCCCTTTGCGCACTCCTCCTCCCTCACTCCTGAGCAAGCAGGCCCTCTGCCTCCGCTCTTTTTCTTCCCCATCCCTCATTCCCCTCCCTTTCCCCCTCTTTTCTCCTCCTCGTTTGTCGCCCTATTAAGGAGGGAAAAGTAT